TCATCATGCAATATATTGAAAAATTTTGATAATTTTGGTAGTGGTAATAAATTAGAAATATTTCCTGCCCATTTCCCTCGCAAAAAAAAAAAAAACACATCTAAATCAAACCATTTATCCTTCAATTCTCTTTTAATTATTTCAGATAAAGTGAAGGGTAACTTATTATTTATGATCACAGCACATAACTCACCTACTGTAGTGTTCAAAGCATGTGTGGATTCCACTGTACATTCTACATTCGCGAAAATTTTCATTTCACAAACACAATGAGTTGATCGAATGATATTACTAAAGTTGGTAACATGAGCTGTTTTGATTAAATCTTCCTGTCCATTTGTATTAGTTAATAATTTGATTGCAGGAAGATAACTAGCTTCAACCACACTGAAACCAATTAATTGCAATGCCTCTCCATGTAATTGTCCATTTAAATATGCAAATTTATAGATACTGAATGCTCAAAAAGTTCCCAGAAGCTTAGCCACTTAGTTGAGCCACCATCAAAGGTTGGCAAGGTTAGTGGAGGTAACTTAACATCCACTGGCTTTTGTAGATTCATTCACCGTGAACTGGGTATTATCCGTCCATCTATTAGAGCGATAAACATTAATTCCTTGTTTATATTGTACACTAGCAATCATTTCTCTAGCCAACTCATCTTCATCATCTATTAGTTCATACAATAATTTATCATGTTTAGAGAAGAAATTGAGTGTACCTTGAATAGTCTGTTTCATTACCAATAAATCACTTGATGTAACAGTTGAGAAAATCATCAAAATCCATTACTAACCAAGTAATGCTTGCTTAGTAGCCTCCTCTCACCTTCCTGTGTTTTTTTCATTTTGGCTTCAGTCACGCTTACTTAAGGAAAAGCGACTGTTACAGCAAACCAACAAACTTAATATTACTTATTGAATACAATTAACGATTATAATGGAAATATTACAAGAAAGTGTCATCATGGAAACAGCAGGCTAGACTAATCATGAATTGATAAATCATTAAGCTAACTTACTAAATTTATGGCTAATTATTACATTTACGTTCTGCTATTCAACATGATAGGTTAGCAGTTACGATAATATTTACATCTCTAAAACACTATACTGTACACAATATTTACAACGTACTCTGAATATGGTAAATGATGGGCAAAACATACAACTCAGGAAATACTATACAGTTGGTCCTCATATTACGCGGTTAATGTAACCTGGAGGGTCCCGCGGAAAGTGAGGAACGCGTAAAGTGAACAACATAACATATGGGATTAATTGAAATGGAGTCCAGGCCGATCCCCAAACTCCACTTTTTGACGACACAAAACTATGTTGTAGTAAAAATTTTATCTTAACTTTATGATGGTATGAAAAAACAAGTGTTACGAGTTGGGGATTTAGAATATAGTTATACGTCTACCCAGATCCCAACAGGCAACAAAAAAAAAAAAAAAAGACAATCGGACTATAAAAGGGTAGACAAAGGATGCGAGTTTTCGTTGTGTATAATAAAGTACCATAAATTCCTTAACAAAATATTCAGCTTATAAATTACCCTTAACCAAACTTAACCTAAACATTAACAGTATATACATATTAATACAACATAAACCATTTTGAAGCAAGTGGACGTGGGGGAGGTAATACAAAATACAAGTACTTAAGTGAGGAGCTGAGATGGCTGACGAGTAAGGCTGAGTATTGTAGAAGACGGTAGGTAGTCACTGTGCCGTAGGTTTAGAGGATAGATGATCCTGTGGTCACTTCCCAGAGCCAAGTCCTCTCTCCTCGAATTGGAGCTGACAAAGAAGACTTTGAGGAGGTGACGCAACAACCAGGATATGGAGAAGGGAAACCCCGGAGTGGTAACTAAGACGAGTCATACTCGTGTCTCGTCCCTAGATGGCGTTGCTCGTGGTGCTGGGTAGGTAGATCAAGACAATAGATGGCGTGGTTCGTAGTGCTGGGTGGAGGGGTTCGTAACACACCCCCCCTCCAAAGACCTCCGTAGCGCGGTCGCGAAGGAGGTGATCAACTGGTGCGTCTGGAGAGTAGCTGCTGCATTTCCACTGGAGCTCGGGATAAGGAGTCTGCAATCAGGTTGTCGACCCCCTTTATGTGCCGGACTTGTAGATTATAGGGCTGGGTGAGGAGAGCCCAGCGGAGGATTCGCTGGTTGGAGGTCTTGTTGGTTTGGATGAACGTGAGTGGGTTATGGTCGGTGAAGACTAGGGTTGTTTGTGGGCAAGACTGGAGGTAACATTCAAACTTCTTTATTGCCAACACCAGAGCCAGGGCCTCCTTCTCTATGGTCGAGTAGTTGGTCTGATGTTTTTTCAACTTGGCGGAGTAATACGCCACAGGGTGAAGAACATCAGTGGTTGGGTCGGGTTGTAGGAGCACAGCCCCCACTCCGACACCACGAGTTGGGGATTTAGAATATAGTTATACGTCTACCCAGATCCCAACAGGCAACAACAAAAAAAACCAAAGACAATCGGACTATAAAAGGGTAGACAAAGGATGAGAGTTTTCGTTGTGTATAATAAAGTACCATAAATTCCTTAACAAAATATTCAGCTTATAAATTACCCTTAACCAAACTTAACCTAAACATTAACAGTATATACATATTAATACAACATAAACCATTTTGAAGCAAGTGGACGTGGGGGAGGTAATACAAGATACAAGTACTTAAGTGAGGAGCTGAGATGGCTGACGAGTAAAGCTGAGTATTGTAGAAGACGGTAGGTAGTCACTGTCCGTAGGTTTAGAGGATAGATGATCCTGTGGTCACTTCCCAGAGCCAAGTCCTCTCTCCTCGAATTGGAGCTGACAAAGAAGACTTTGAGGAGGTGACGCAACAACCAGGATATGGAGAAGAGAAACCCCGGAGTGGTAACTAAGACGAGTCATACT